TGGTTTTAGAATGGGAATCAGGAACACTGAGTGCCTATTTGTGATGTGTGCACTGCAGTACATCCCAGTCTCAATATAGAGCAGCTGCAAAAACTGGCAGAAAATGCTAAAATGGTGACACCCTGCCAGTTGCCACACATATTAGCATCAAATCACATGGTAAGGCGTTGCTGAAAACTGTCCTTGCTTAAGCCCCCAGCCAGCTACTCAAGGGCACTGGATGAAGATGGTGGCCATGGCCAAACGCTTGTATCTGAAATGACTAGGGCCAGGAAGCAGACATAAACAGAAATATGCTAAATGAGGTGGGTCTAATGGACCTCTTTACAGGTTCTCAAAGACTAGAGCTTTTACTTTTAAGGGATTCAGGTTGGTTTCAATGGCAACATAATATGGTAGGTACCTAAATGCATCACTGCACTAATAGGTAATCATGGGCAAGAAGCCAATCATAAAGCTAAAAGTTAAAGGAAATAGTTCACTTTCACGAAATTATTTTTTTTTTGCAACGGATTTATGATTTTTTATGTTCAAAATAATCAGCAAAGAAAATAAAACCTTTTTATAACAAAATATTCTTTTCTATATTTTGATATAGGAAGAACTTTTCAGTTTCTGTAAGGCACACGCGATCCAGTATGAAAAGAGCATGGGTCCCGAAAATTCTTCAGAAACAGAGAAATTATCGCAGCCACCGGCATTTGGGCGATCTGCTCGATCTGATAATGTTCCCCTGAATGTCCTAATTGATCAGTACGAGAATTTCTCTAGAGTTCTCGTAGATAATTTCTCTAGTTTCTGAAGAATTTTCGGGACCCATGCTCTTTTCATACTGGATGGAAATATATGCAAGGCACACATCCTCAACGCAAGACATCTTTTTCGGGACGAGAAATAGAATATCTTTGCCTAGGGTGATCGTTGGGCTGTAAAAGCTCCTGATTTATGCTCGTCTCAGCCCAAGCTACGGAACTGCTATTCCAGTTCAAAACCCATGTTAAAAAGTGAACTATTTCCTTTAAAGATGTGGGAATGGTTGCTGAAACAACATGGCTCACAGCCATAACTGACACACTGGTTCATTGAATTTTGACCCATGTTAATGTCAATGACATGGCTCAAATAATTTCTGAAATAGAGGTAACTAGATATTCCATGTAAAAAACAAATATATCAATATGTGAGCATGAATTTAATTCCTTGTGTGACTCAATACAGGCTATTCTTCAAGGTATGGCCATGGGTCAGTAGAAGCCTGCTGCAGGACCTGCCTCATGATTGCTATTTTTCACTTTAACTCCTTTTAACTTCTGTAGCACTCGGGCTGTTCTTTGGGAGATTCCGAGATGAAAATTCGCCCTGCTGGTGTTATGCCATGTACATACATAATTTATGAGAATGAGCATTGTTCCTGAACTAACAATGAAAATCCAAAACTACGAGAAGAACAAGGCATTACCGTATTCTCCACGTTGATGTACATTACTGAAAAACACATTACAAAACATCACAGACCGAAATCAGTCGGTGACACACCAGGGAAATAAGCTAATATTAGAGCGCTCTATTTATTGCTCCCGCTACTTCACCGTCTCCCATAGGGCCCTGTGTTGAGCTGGTGTCGAGGCTCTAAAAATGACGCCAATTTTTGCACCCTTCTCACGAAAACCGCTCGGACCGCCTGGAAACTAATTGTTCCGCTTTAAAAATTTCATGATCGACGGAAAAATGAACGAGGAAAACATTGGTCCTGAAATAATTCTGAACTCCCTGTAGAACATATCGAAATATGGCTGCAAACTAGGAGCATGTCAAAATCGGCAAAACAATACAAATAAACTTACCGGGATTTTTTTATTTTCTATGCATCTGTGTATGAAATCAGTCGATTTTTCGGAAAGATCATCTTCTGTTTAATAAATAATTCCACAATTGAAATCGAGAAAAAAAATCATTTCTGCTATGACAGCAGTTTTGGCATTTTGCCAGTAGTGTGGCGTGCGCGGTGCTGGGTAGTCGTCGGGACGGAGTTGTTAGTATTTTCGGTGTTTTAAATGGTTGATGGCCATTGGAACCAGCTTTATATTATTTCCTACAAATTTTTGCATCAAATCATTGCTTTGAAAGACCATTGAAACCCCTTATCTCTTCATGAAACACGATCATATCATCGTCGACGAAAATGGCGCGGGACTAGATGTGCGTTTCCATCGAAATAAATCGTAAATTTAATAACAATTGATGATAAATATCATATTCTATTGACACATTTTCATAAAATAAGGCATAAACTTTGCAAGGAAGTCAACATTGGATAATTGGATTCTTATTTTGCTCACATATCCTTGTAGTAGTCAAATGGCTCAATTGTTAGATAAATGTAAGTATATGTTTTGGCTTGATGTTTGCTGTGAAACCACCCAGCCACTTGCTGGTTGAGTGGTTTTCTGATAATTACCTGATAATCATTTCTCCTTTTCCTTAAAAGAAACTAAAATTCTTTTCAAAGTAACCCATTTTTAGGAAAGGCGGCTGGCTCATTGACATTTCATGTTCTTGTTTTGTTATTGCTGGCAGTATTTTGATACAAAAAAAAAAATGCAATATGAACTTTTTGCAATAATAAAACCCAAGACAAACTTAGTTAATGCATCAAACACCCAACAGAAAGATTGCGAGTCCTTGTGACGTGAAGTAGAATATTCTATGAATGTGTTTTATAGAATATGCCAAACTTTAAATTGATTTATTTTTGATACTAATAGCTAAGCATGTGAATTATGCCACAATATAATTTCATTTTCTGGTTTTGAAATAGCCGGCAGTATCTTACTTCAACAAATGTAATATACATGGAATACATGTTATGTTATGTTAAACGTTTAATAACAGCCAACAAGAGGGGCTGTTCCAGCAAATAATGTTTGTACCTTATGCATTACCTTTCTTTTCTGCAGGACCATGCTTCCGCTGGGTGGTCGACATTTGCCTCCTGAAGAAGTTGAGCAACATGAAGACCACCAGATGAGGTGTCTGCAGTTCATGTGGAACGCTGCAGACTACAAGTGTTATGCCGACCACAACCAAAATGCTGTGATCATGGAGGCATGAACCTCATGACAACAATTCAGATTTGCAGTTGTACCAAAGTGTGATTCAAACCACCTGTGGCATCTCACTCAATGCGTGAACAGCGTGATCATTGTGCAGTGTTCAGCTGCAACTAAGACATTTATTAGTGACTTGTTTTGCAATTAGCCACCAAAAGCATTTTTTGGGCTGGCTGCTGTAATTTGTTGTGCACTGCGCAATAGTGGTAGTGTTTTGTCACTTGTCAAGTTGTCAGTTGTGCATGTTGCATGTTTCTCTCCCCTCGGCCTTCATTATCAGTTAAGTGGTGAATTGGCATCACTCAGTCTCCTCAGATCTCCATTGACTGTCTGTCAACCACCTAACTTGAGACGGTATTTGCTAATAGTGTCAGAAAAGAAGTGATTGTAGACATTTTAGGAATATGAGCTCCGTTTCATGCGTGTTCCAGTGGTCATTTTGTCACATGTCCCATAGTGTAATAAATGGAAACTGTTGTTCCCTTTTGAAGGTACTCGCGGATGCAGAAAGCGTTGGGCCTAATTATTAAACGCACTCTCCTATCAGCGACACACGAAGTCGACAAATATCATCCTTTTTAGAACAGGAGGAAACGAAAACATGTGAACATAGCTGTACCTACAACAGTGCATAAGGAATTGAAATTCTGGGAGTTTTTGAAATTCGGAGAAACTCGAGTTGTCGACAGGTATGCCCCCTTGTACGTCAAGGACCGCCTTAAAACAAACGTCCACAAATGAAGGCAGTATTCGTATGTTCGTTGTAATTGCAGCAGCCTAGCAACATGCATTGCGGTCCGATGGCGAATTACATTCGTGCTAAAAAAAACTATGCCGGCAACTGCCAATGTACTTAGGTCATTGGTGAGGAGAGGAAGGGTTATGTCAAATGTCAACATCATAGAAATGGCTTCATCTATTGAGCTGTGCCTATTGTGCATAATTCAACCAATCAATGCATTTCGTTTCTTGCAATCTACTCATGCTATCACTCCAGCTTCAGAGTAATCATCCCGTATTGAACGTCTAAAGATATTGATTTCTATGGCTGTTTGCAATTGCTAGCCACGTCTTATCTCAGTTTGGTGGCCCCGCATCGGCCCACTCGGCCGCTCTAAAATTGACTTACGGAGGAGGATGGTGGCTTTTATTTTAGCTTCCCCGCTGACTGCGGGGAGCGCCGTCGCCGAGGTAGGAGCAATAATTAGCTTATGTTTGGGACTAATTTCCACGCTTAATTAACATTTTGATGTTATTTTAATTAATTCATGTTAATCTTTGACGCATTCTCTTTCTATTGATACCATCCACCGGTCTGAGAAGTGCTGCCTGGCTGCGTAAGGGCCGATAAAAGATCACGCTTTTAGGGGTATCTCTTCAACATGGGGCAGGAGCAATAAATAGAGCGCTCTAATTTTAGCTTATTTCCCTGGTATGTCACCAACTGAAATCGCAAGATTCGATGACAATGATGGGTAGAGAATCGAGATAACTCACCTCACCAACTAAAAAATAGACGATTCACAATGACCGCTTTTCATTCACGAATGAAAGCCCCTCGCTTCCGATTCCCACGCTTCCCACGAATGTCTCTGAGCTCTGAAAAGTGTGAGAACCCAGGCTCAGAACCCCTCAGAACCAAGAGACCCCAAGGCCATCTATAGAGAGACCCAAGCAAGGCCGGACCCAAGAGACCGGAGAGAAGCGTGAGAGCCAGAGGATGAGATCAGAGACGTCAGAGACCCGACTGCTGCTGACACCTTTCGTCCTATATGTGAACTACAGCTTCCTACAGGTTATGTTTCTCTCCGGACAATAGGTGGCAGCACAAGTAACAAAGGGATGACGCTCGTGAGCGTTGCGGGCACCCCTTAGGGCATGTGGAGCGGTCCAATGAGAGAGCGTCGTTCACTGAGTGCTACGGGTGTGGAACGTGGGTGCGATTCTCTGGAATATTTCGTGTGATTAGAACAGTGAGAAATGCAGAACTGTGCCAACTTGGGTGTCATCTTATAGCCTGGATTCTGCGTTTTCAGGAAGGATATTTTGTTCACCTGTGAAGGTAAGGTCAGTGGAATGGTAGGGTTCTAGCTGTTCCGCTGTTCTGAAGCATGGAACTCGGCCTGTTGGGAAAGATGGAGCCGTTGGTTTTCCAGCTGGTTTTCTGGGTTGGCGCTGTAAGGTGACCTGAAACGGTAAGAATGAAAGGTGTAACGTGTTCTATGACATGACCTGTAATTTCTGCACGATTTGTGATACCCTGATGATTGCTTCACATCCTGATCCTGATCTTGTGCATCCTGAGCCATTACAGCTGCGGTTGAGCTGGGAGAGAAGGAATGTTTCAGTGCCATTTCGCGTTCATCCAGACAAATTTGCTTTGCATAGCTGCTAGGTATATCGAGGTTCTAATTCGAGATACCTGTTCCCACGGTGACTATAAATCAAAATATCAATATATAAATACATGTTCCAGTTCCAAGTCGGCATGGTCCAAACACAACAGCGCAGTTGAACATCCATGTGATGTGACAAACGAATGTTGGCGGCAATCGTCGCTCAAGACCGTCCCTTACGATCAGCTACTTCTAAACAATTTCCTTCTAAAGGCTCGTAGCTAATTATAACTGTGACCCGTCTTCCTGGAGCTCGCCTTTACCGTGCGTTTTCCAGTTCTTCGCTTTAGGAGTCTGCAGTGGCGGCAGTGAGTGTCGGTTTTCCGCTGCATCGCCGGCGCATCGGAAAACGTCCAAGGCCGACCCAGGCCGACCATCGCCTATCCTGATCGCCCGGCAAGTAATGGACATCCCATGTCATCCAACTTCAAATCGCTTGCAATATCGCACGAGAAACCTCAGACCTGTATGGGGCTTATTATTGGCTAGGTTTGCCGTTGCGGCCGATAGACCTATGTGTATGTCTATGATATTTGGTAAGCTATAACGGATTTATGTAACGCTTACGGTGGTATCGGGTGCTCCGTTGGCTTCAATGGCTTGTCTTGTAGGACCGGTGGCAATGTGGTTCTGGCCTTATCTGACCTGACTGTAGTGCCCACGCGCCTCACGAACCGCCCCGGTATCACCGTTCTCTGGCGGCGGACACCTGTCCACCGGACTGGGCGGGCCGGCCGGGCGTGGTCGGCTGAGCGAGTCGGTGTCACCCGACCGTGACGCCCTCCAACCCTCCCGCCGCAGTCTCTATAACCCTCCAGCCGCAGCCTCTCCAGCCAGCTCCCACGCCACGGCGGCCACAAGACAATCGTCAAAGCCACAGACGCACCGGCCGCCGCACCGCGTGACGGACCGCCAGCGGAACGGCCAGGGCCAGAGCAGCTCCGTGACGCCCGGGACAGTTCTGTTACGTGACGATGTGACTATTGGCTTAGAAATGTCCTGTAATGTGCATGCGAAGGACATCTGCAAGGCCTGACGCAGCGGTCATTGAATGTCATTGCTTTGTTCATTAATTGTCTTGTTTATTATAGTTCGACGTACATGCAAGGCAGTTTCAAGCACTGTTACGGTAAACTTGACGTACTTTCAGCGGATGGCAACTTCGTCACGCTCCCAATGCACCCCTCCACTGTTTCGACGGTGAAGTAGATCATCTTGAGTGCGCTACTACTCGATGCTTAATGCTCAGTCGTGTTAAGATGACCCCAGTGAGCTTGTCGTATTAAAGGGACCCTCCCACCTTCAAAAAAGTTAATGAATTGGCATGAAAGTGATGTCGTTCGGTTCAGAAAGAGCAAAAACGAATATCTACCAAATTTCATCGAAAAATATTCACCGGTTTTCAAGATATTAGACTTTTACTTTTGTTTACTTTTTGGGATCTCCGCTGTTCCTAGCGACTTTATTTGAAAGTGCGGCATTTTTTGCGCGCAAAGCAGCATATACCACCGCGTGCTACAAAACGTTTTAGTCAAACATTTAACGGACGTTCGAAAGCCTGATGACGTCATCAGACTCCCGTAATGGTTAAGAGATAGGGACCACGCTGGTCCCACCCTGCAAGTAAAGGGAAGAAATTTCTTGAACACCATAAAGCTGCGGGGGTTGCGACCAGGATAAATGGTGGTTTCTGAGCCTGGCCGCAAACTTGGCTATCTCAACTCAAAACTAATGTTAAGGTGGGAGGGTCCCTTTAACATATTGGCACTGGCTGTATAACATCATCCACGCAACCCTGTCACATCGGGACGGCACCCAGTCTCGTGCCGGTTCGCGTCCGGCGCTGCTGGCCTCTCCCTGCTGCGTGTTCCGCTGAGCGCAGCCACTCCCCACCGCCGGATGATCCGGCCCATCCCCAGCGCACCTGCACGGCTTTCCGGAACGCCCGTCTCACCAGATCATCCGAGAGAGAGAGCGCGGGATTTTCCACTAATCCCGCTCTGCTTAATTTAAGTCTACTTCTTTTAGGTAAAGGTTCTTAGAGGAGGAAAAATGTTTCGTGAACGCTACAGAAACAGACTTTAGACGGTTGCATATTCAAACACAGACCTTTGAGGAAAACGCGTGTTTAGTTTGTATAGGTATCGGGAGTCAAAGATGTAGGCAACTGTGACATTACATTTACAACTTACAAGTAACTCTCAAAGGAAAACTTGAAATAGATAATGGAATGTAAGGATACAGAGCAATGCTGCTCTCCCGGTGCCTCTGCATATCGCATTTCTGTGGTGTTTCGTGCTCGGGTTTGGCAACTGATCTGTTGGTGAGGTCTCTGGGGCTCCGTCGGTCGCTCTCTCGTAGATGTTTGGTAACTTGAGCCGAGGACATGCGATCCACCCGGGCAGCGGTTTTCCTCATTGATGCTCCATTCCTGGAAAGTGGCAGTGTTCCACGATCTTGATTCTCTAATCGGAACTCAGGACTAATGCAGAGCAAGAGTGCTGCACCCAGACTGCCGCACGCGTCTGCCGTGGTCCATGGCATACGCGAGCGTTTTTAGAACATTTTAAATGGCCATTATGTGAAGCGCTCTGTTTATACATTGGGTATGCCACGGGCAATGCACGCATCGACTTCCGAGCCGTTAATTCGAGTGGGAACAAATACGTCAGATTTAGTTCAAATATTTGAGATTGGATGTGACTTAACCCTCGCATGTGTGCGGCGTTTTCCAGCTTCTAATGTGTAGGGGGGGGGGGGGGTCGGTTGGACCCCCCCTTGCCGTTTGGCCCCTGATCGAGCTAGAGCTTCGCGGAAAAAACGAGCGTGTTGCCCGTGACGAGAGGAAGCCGATGATACCCAATTTTAAGGTCCTAGGTCATTGGTTGACCTTCCAGGTCAGGTCAAAGACCCAAGGTCGGGAAAATTGGGACCTGTTAGAAAGTCGTAAAGTGTGGCTGCTAAGGGGTTTTTCGGGGTGCTGATCACGAATATCGTGTTAGTTTTGATCACAGATGATGTCTTTAAGCATTTAGACCAGGTCGGGTCAGGTCAGGTCAGGTCAACCAGTAGGCGTCGTGACGGGTATTAGTATTACGTGTCAACCGCCTCTGACAGCTTCGTAACATGTTACGAAGTCACCAAAACTACTTCGTAAATGTTCAAATGGTTGCTAAATTCGAATTCAGCTCCAAAAACTAGCCTAGAAACATGTAAAACTCGAAAAAGTGAACCGAGGTCACCAAAGGTCAATGACCTGACCTGACCTTCAGGTGACCTTGACACCCACCCTAATGCATGGGAGCAACATCAAATCACATGTTTGAACGTTTGAAACCACGAAAAGCTTGCAAACGCGCGGCTAATGCGAGCCGACATACGCGGAATCGCGATTCCGGCCAAACATGGTCTCGGAAAAGAGGTCACAGGTCAAAGGTCATTGGGGTCAGGGTCATGAAATTTTCAGGGTAGGTGTAAAATTGATCAATGCGAGGGTACTGATAGTTTCGTCGCGATCGGCCGCTTTTTACGCGAGTTATTCGCGAAAAACCATGGGGGGGGGGGTCCATCCGACCCCCCCCCCCCCCCCTACACATGCGAGGGTTAACAAAACATTACAAGTTTCATTGAATGCACGATTATGGTCTATAAATCCGCCTGCAATATCGTAGCTTATCGTACCGGGCCGTCGTATCACCGCTTGAAGTGGCATAGTTTATTGTCCTTCGAGCTTTCTTCTGTTTATGATTACACGCCGTTAGGGACTCTAGCTAAGGCGAAGCACACAAATAAACTATCGCGTTTGCTCCCGTTGAACTACTAGTGTGAACGCATGTTTATGTCATGGACTGTTGAAAGATTTGTCGCTGAGATTTAGGCCGATAAAGCTAATGTGTAATGTTTCTGTTTATGATCAAATGCGATAGCCGTAGCATTATCAGTTACAAGTGCTGTAGCGATGTTAGCCACCGATTCTACAAAGCACTTGTAACTTTGTGAAATGTGAATGTATGACGGAAGCTTACACTTCGCAACCCTGGCCTCACCGACCCCCATATGCGAAAAAACAGCACTGCAGAACCTGACATGACCCACTTACCTGCCGGTCCCCGCTCTCACGCTGACATTTCAAAGTTCATGTGCACCGTCACAAATGCTGTTTCAGGAATGTATTTTCGTGAAGCTGGGGTGATGTCATTTTCGCAGCTGCACCATTCGTGCCTAGCGGAAAGAGATAACTTGACTCGGCTGCTTTGCGGCACAGATCTTATAAGTTTTGACAGAGGACGTGAGGTACGCGGCCTCATGCTCAGCACGAACGACGCATAACCTAGGTGTGTCCTGAATAAATCACGAATGTTTGTGGTGACTTACTGAGCTGATTTCACGGAGTTTGGTCAACCGCCGTCGGCACTCATCAGCCGATACGCATCGTTCTTATGTAGACGTTTTGCTCACTGTTTATATTTATATTTTGTGATCGTGTCTGGCGGTACAGCTGTGCCTGGCATGTCCGCCGTATGTTCCGACCGACCCCAGTTCCAGCTAAAGCAGCCTGTTCTGCAGCGGAATGCCGTGCGAGTGTTTGTATTATCATGTCCGTATGCTGCCGCTGGTATGTGGAACTGTAGGGGCGAGTCCGGCTGCCCTAACACCCCTCCCCCTCCCCTGACCAACAGATGCATCCGACACGCCGCCGTAAGAAGCGGCCGAGCTACGGCGTTCGCACCGTGGAGGTACAGCGCGGCGCCAACGGGTTCGGCTTCACCATCTCCGGCCAGGCGCCGTGCCTTCTGAGCTGTATCGTGGCCTCGAGCCCGGCGGACGCGGCCGGTCTCCGCCCCGGAGACTACCTGCTGGCCGTCAACGGTCAGAACGTGGCCGCCAGCCTGCACGACGACGTAGTGCAGCTGATTGGCAGCACGCACTCGACGCTGCGGCTGCAGATCGCCGAGAACTACTACACGGACAGCTCGGAGGACGAGGCGTGCGTGGCCACGCGCAACAAACACAAGCCGGCGCACCGGGCACGGCACCGGCACGGAGCGCCGCGCGCCGGCCCGGCCGGCGGCCGATCGCCGGCGGACAGCTGGGACGACGAGGAGCCGGCGCGCCGCGTGCCCGGCCCGCCGCCGCCGCCGCGCGACCCGCAGGGCTTCCTGCAGCCGACGGCGCCGGCGGTGCGGCCGGTGCGTCGCGCGCGGCCCGGCCCCAGCCATGTGGCTGCCGCGGCGGCGGCGGCGGCCGGCGGCGAGCGGCTGGTGATCACAGAGCAGACGGTGAACGGACTCATCTACCCGACACTGCAGGAGCTGCAGCGCGAGCGGCAGCAGGAGGTGGACCCGGCCCTGTTCCGCGCCGTCGTCGGCTACCTGGGCACCATCGAGATGCCCAAGGAGAAGGACCTGGCCGGATCGCGGCTGCAGGCCATCCGAAACTGCATCCGCCGGCTGCGCGTGGAGAAGAAGGTGCACACGCTGGTGCTGATGTCAGTGTTTCCCAGCCGCGTGTCGCTGTCAAACACGCACGGCTGGGCGCTGGCCACCTACCCGGCCGACCGGATCACCTTCTGCGGCATCTACGCCGACGACAAGCGCTTCTTCGGCCTGGTGACGGTGCACCGGCACGACGACCCGAGCGACCAGAGCCAGGACGAGTCGTCGCCGCCGCCGCTCTCCAGCTCGTGTCACGTGTTCATGGTTGACCCGAAGCTGGCGGCGCACGGCGACCACGCCAAGCGGGCGCGCACGTTCGGCCTGCAGTGCTCGGTGGCTCCGGGCGGCGGCGGCGGACGCTGTCAGGAGTTTCCGGACACGGCGGAGCCGATCCTGCAGGCCATTCTCAGCCTGTACAGGAACCGAGTGCTGCCGGGTATGGCGGACCCTGACATGCAGCCCGCCTCGCCGCCACACAGCAACACCAGCAGCAACTCGTCCAACAGCGACTCCGGCATCGGCTTCCGCGACGACGGACACCCCACCGAGCGCATCTTTGTGGTGGACGTGGAACGGGAACGACTGCGCATCCACCGTGTCGGCAACCAGGGCGGTGTGATGGGTCCTCCGCCGCCGCCCCCGCCGGCCGCGGCGGCGCGCCACGCCGAGCGCCGCGTACCGCCCACGCTGCAGCACTCGAACAGCTGCCGGTCCTCCGACTGCAGCTTCGTCCGCAGCCTGGAGGACCTGCGCGGCGCCGGGGTGGGCGGCGCCGCCGGCGGTGCCAGCAGCAGCAGCGGCGGCGGCGGTCGGCTGGCCGCGGCGCGTCTCTGGCACGGCTCGGATACCGAGCTGGCGCGCATGGTCACTGGCTCGGAGGCGCGGCGGTTTGTCCGGTCCCTGGAGCGGCACCCTGACGAGGTGCGCACGGACCCGGGCGGCCGCGCCACGCCGGCCACCTCAGCTGCCACCGATGAGGAGCCAATGGTGAGTACCCGAGACTGCCGAGTGGCGGTCGATGGGTGGGTGGGAGAAGTGGTCTGGGCAGCAGCGACCGGCGCTGGCGGCGCCGGGGCTGCGCGGCCCGTGTCGCAACTGTGTCGCTTATGAGTAATGCATGCGTGTGTGTTATGCGAGCTGTGCTATTCGTGTCGCGGGCGGTGTTCTCTCGTCCACTCCATTTCTGCTCGTCGGGCGGAGCGCCGGTCACGGCGCGGGGACGGTTACGGTAACCTTGAACCCGGCGTCCATCGGACTGGCCGCCGTAACCGCCGACGAGAGAGAGAGAGAGAGAGAGAGAGAGAGAGAGAGGAGAGAGAGAGAGAGAGAGAGAGAGAGAGAGGAGAGAGAGAGAGAGAGAGAGAGAGAGAGAGGAGAGAGAGAGAGAGAGAGAGAGAGAGAGAGAGAGAGAGAGAGAGAGAGAGAGAGAGAGAGAGAGAGAGAGAGAGAGAGAGAGAGAGAGAGAGAGAGAGAGAGAGAGAGAGAGAGAGAGAGAGAGAGAGAGAGAGAGAGAGAGAGAGAGAGAGAGAGAGAGAGAGAGAGAGAGAGAGAGAGAGAGAGAGAGAGAGAGAGAGAGAGAGAGAGAGAGAGAGAGAGAGAGAGAGAGAGAGAGAGAGAGAGAGGAGAGAGAGAGAGAGAGAGAGAGAGAGAGAGAGAGAGAGAGAGAGAGAGAGAGAGAGAGAGAGAGAGAGAGAGAGAGAGAGAGAGAGAGAGAGAGAGAGAGAGAGAGAGAGGAGAGAGAGAGAA